GTTGCCATCATCATTTTCAAAAGCTTTCTTTCTACTTGAGCCCTTGGTATCAGCTTTTTTTTCCCCTCCCTCCCTCATGAACCCTTGATAACTTATTATTATTTTCGTTTCTTACTAGATTTCATATTTAATGTTTTTTAAATGATCAAAGATACCTAAATATACCTAGTTATCTTAACCTGATATTTTACAGCGAATCTGTATATTGTTATTAGAATAGACTTGGATTACAAATGAAAAACATTTCTTGACAAAGATGCTTAGGTTGCTTAGGATTTTTTTTTCTCATATAAATGTCTAAAAATAAAAATGTTGGAAAGGGGTGTTGCTCTTTTGCCGCTTCCTTAAATTATAAGATAATATTAAGATCTGTCATGTTCTTCTATGGCTTGCGTTTTTTAATGTAACTCAGAGTAGAAGGCAGCTATAATGTATATACTGTTAAATTGTCTATTGCTGTACCTTTCTGTTTACAAAGAAAATAGTCTGCCTTTTCTTGTGTGTGTGGTCACTTAGCCTCTCTCTTTAATACAATCCATTCTTATTGATGTTCTTTAAATATTGTCATTTCCTGCAAAGACCAGACTCATTTCCAGAGTTGCTGTTTATCTCTTTGTTCTAGTAGGCCTTCTCTACCTTAACTAACTGTTCAACTAATAATGATTGAGGATCAAAGCAGTGTTGTTACTAAACATTATTTAGCCGGTTTGATTGGCTCCCTTTTATTCCAGGAAGCAGGCTAAGCTTGGACATGAGTTTTAAGATTCCATTCTAATGAATTCAGACCAGTGATGAAATAGGTATCCCAGTTTCTCCTGAACCCTGTGAACAAGATACATTTTTAATTGATATTGGCCTGGAGGTTACTGTCAGTCTCATGTCAAGCATAGTAACCCATAGAATGTATTTTTCTAAATCATCGGACCAAAGATAAATTAGTTGTTGAGACTGCTACTGCTTTTGTGCCATGGAGTCAGACAAACTGGGGTGTACCTCGCCCTCTAAGAAAAAGTTCCTAGACTGTATTGCCCTGACCTTTGCTTTAGTATGTTTACTCTATTCTCAGTGGCATTTAATAGTAGTTACTTAGAACTGTACTATTATTCCTGCCCCTTCCCAATAGTTTTCTTTTGAGTTAGTTACAGACTAAGTTAAAAGATAGAAGATATAAATATATTTTATTCACAGTGGAAGTTTTGTGTGTATCTGTATGTAAGACTTGGTTGTATGTACTTACTTGACATTTTTTCTTAAATATTTATCTGCAATTGAAGTTTGTTTTCTCTACTACTTCTGACACTTTTTTGCCAGTAAATTATTCAAAATGGAACAGAGCTTGCTTATGCTCTTGACTGCATAAGGTTTTATGGGATAAATTTACCGTGTTTCATATTGCTTAAATTTACTCACATGGATCACATTTTGCTTTCTTTAGCATTTATCTTGTAATATTATTACCGCTGTGTAGGTATCTGAAGATTACCAAAAGTTATAAAATAATATGTGCATCAGCAATCTAGTTAAATCATATAATTATACATAATGGTGCAATATAATTTTAAGTAAAATTTAAAACAAGAGTACAGTAGCAGATGGACATTGTGCCTCCACTCAAGTACTCCCTCAACACAAGAACAATTTGTTCTACTAACACAGCATTCTGTGATGTTCACCTTCCCTGACACGATTGCTGAAAACAAAATGGGTGCATAAACAAATGTGGTGAAGACAGCTGATGATGCCTGGCTATCAAAAGATATAGATAGCATCTGGGGTCTTAAAGGCTTGAAGATAAACAAGCAACTATCTAGCTGAGAAGCAACAAAGTCCACATGGAAGAAGCCCATCAGCCTTGTGTGATCATGAAGTGTTGATGGGATCAGACAATAAAGAAACAAACTAAAAGCATATCACTGGGAATGAGAGAGAGCACAGAGTTGAGACCCAAAGCCCATCAGTAGTCAGTTGGACACCTCTCTGTCAGAAAGGTCACAAGAAAGAGACAACCCAGTCGGTGCAGTATAGCACCAATGAAACACACAACCTTCCTCTAGTTCTTTAATGCTTCTTCCACCACCACCACCACCACTACACCCCACTACCATGACCCCAGTTCTGTTTTACCAATGTGGCTAGACTGGAAAATGTATACTGGTATAGATTGAAACACGGAATCCAGAACAGATAAAACCCTCAGGACCAGGATTGAGGATGAGTAAGGGTGAACCAATCACAATGATGGATTTATGGACCCCATCCCAGGGGGACAGTCAGCATAAAAATGGGTGAAATGAGACAGCAGTCGATATAAGACATGGAAAAGAATTTATAAATTATCAAGGAAACGTGGAGGGAGGGGAAATTATGAGGAACTGAAGCCAGGGTGGTGTTGAGGGAGGAGATGAGCTGATGCCTGGGACTTAAGTAGAAAGAAAATGTTTTAAAAACGTTGATGACAGTATATGTAAAGATGTGTTTGACAAAATGGATACACCGTATATACTCATGTATAAACCGAGGTTTTTTTTTTTTTAAATCATTTTATTGGTGACTCATACAACTCTTATCACCATCCATACATCCATCCATTATGTCAAGCACATTTGTACATTTGTTGCCATCATCATTCTCAAAACATTTGCTTTCTACTTGAGCCCTTGATATCAGCGCCTCATTTTTCCCCCTCCCACATGAACCCTTGATAATTTATAAATTATTATTTTGTCATATCTTACACTGTCCATCTCCCTTCACCCACTTTTCTGTTGACCACCCCCCAGGGAGGAGGTTCTGTGTAGATCCTTGTGAAAAGCAGTTCCACCTTTCTACCCCACCTTCCCTCCACCCTCTGGAATTGCCGCTCTCACCACTGGTCCTGAAGGGATCATCTGTCCTGGATTCCCTGTTTCTCCAGTTCCTATCTGTACCAGTGTACATCCTCTGGTCTAGTCAGATTTGTAAGGTAAAATTGGGATCATGATAGTGGGGTGAGGAAGCATTTAGGAACTAGAGGAAGGTTGTATGTTTCATTGTTGCTACCCTGCACCCTGCCTGTAAGCCGAGTTTTTTCAGCACAGTTTTTATGCAGTGTTTGTGGTAAAATTAAGTGCCTCGACTGTTACTTGGGTCGGCTTACACTCAAGTATATGCGGTATGTATAGATTGTGATAAGAGCCCCCAATAAAATTAAATTTAAAAAGTTTTTAAACTAAGATTTCAGCCATTTGGTTCAGGATTCTAAAATAGACCCTTCACAATTCTATCAGATTGTTTAAATTTTTACCAGCTTACTAAGCATTTAATAGTTACCTACATCTCTAAGATTCAAACTAAGGCAGCAAACATCAGTAACATAAAGATACGTTTTTGCTATTTCCTGGGTTTTGTGATACAAATGGATTTAAGTTCTTTCACACTCCATGACATACTTTTATTTGGCCACTTTCTTGCTCTGTTTTATATGGCTAAGTCAAGACACAAGTAACTAAGCTGTGTTTTAAGGTTGTTGTCCCAAAACTTTTCAACATACTTCCTTCCTTATAAGTCTTCAATGACTGAACTCCTAGGATGATTTTATTTTTTTTTATTATTATTGAGATTTGGAAATATTTGCGACTGGGTGAAACAAGTTAAATGAAGAAATTTCAGTTATACGAAGACAAATCTGTTGTACATATTATAGAAAATATTTAAAATATTCTAGGTTTTTCTTTATTTAAATTAGTTTAGAATGTTTCTGCCATTTAGTGCCTAGCCTATTTTAAATACTTTTGCAGCAAATTGTGGTTGAATTTGCTATTGAAATAATAAAATTAAGCTCAAGGAGCAAGTAGAGTACAAAAGACACACGGGTTTTTAATCTGAGGATTGAATTTTATTCATAATACTTAGAATATACCTTTCAGTTTCAGCCTTAGATTCAGGTGGAATAGATTTTACTACAAATGCCTATTATCTATCTTTGAATAAAATAATAATACTTAAAAGTTTCAAAGTGCATGTCAGAATTTTCCATTTCTTGAGATAAAGGTTTTTTTTTAACTCACTCAAAGATATATTTAAATGCTATATTTAGAAAATAGTATCTTTCTATTTTATGTAGATTTATAATTGTACTGGGCACACATTTAATTCAAAATAATGTTTTTTGCATATTTACTCAACTATTTGTTCAAAATAATATAAAATTTTGCATTTCTTGAACTCTACTGAAATTTAGTATATGTTTATCTGTACTTACAGTGCCACTCAAACTTGTGTTAACCAAGTTCTATTGTTTTTGTGAATACACGTGTTGACTTGTTTGTCTAGGTGCTTAGTTAAAAATATTTTTGTAATGGTATTTAAAATAGAGTAAAAAGTTTATATTAAATGAATACTAAAGTAAAATTTTTTTGTGATTGCCTACACATTATTTGCTGAGGATCTGCTTCAGCAAACCGTAAAAATTTTAATGTCTTCGTGGGATTACAGTTAAAGTTTATACAAAATAAACAGTCTGGGGTGTGTGTGTGTGTGTGTGCATGTGCGTGCACGCGCGCACTCGCACGCACACACATTTTATATATTCTAAAGTGTAGCAATAATTAGCAATTCTGCCTTTCCCCCGTTTTATGCTTTTGTCTTTGTTTTGTTTTGCTGTATAATTCCCTCATGTATTTAAAATTTGGATGAGCCAGAAATAAAATTTATAGCTCATTTTGTGTAATATATTGGGTTCGGGCTACTTTGCAGTCATTTTCCATTTAGACATAATAAAAATATGTTTCTTGTAGTATGGAGTGAAACTCAGCATCTCATCAGGTATAGATTTTTTTGTAGAAGATGGTTTCTTGGAATGAGTTTTTTTGCCTTATCTCTTTCCATCTCTCAAGTATGAAAGAGCACTTCAATCCTCTTACTCAGTGGTGCTTTATAATATAATATTCCTCCCGTTTCTGTAAAAATTGATGCATCAGAAGTAAATTGAACTTGTTATTGTTCCTTCTCTTCAATTTCAGGAAGAGGCAGAAATCCAGGCAGAACTTGAACGTTTGGAAAGAGTCAGAAATCTTCACATTCGAGAACTCAAAAGAATAAACAATGAGGATAATTCACAGTAAGTTGTTATTTGTATTGAACACTTTTATATGATTTTGATCAATAGATAATTATGCTTTATTGTTGGGGGCAGGTAAGCTTCATATAAATTATTATGTCTCATTGTAGATGTGTTTACTCTCACCTAAGCAAATTCACTGGCCTCTTACCTGTTAGGTCTCCGTTTTTCCCTCTTGCTCTTCCAGTTTTCCCTCAGCCCACCCCAGTGGCTTCAGATCACACTTAGAAAAAGATCTAAAGCCATTAAATGGTCTGGTCCCTGGGCCCCTCACCTGCTCTATTCCTCTCATCACCACCCTCTCCCTTAGGTGTCCTAGACATACTGGTCTCAAACACGCCGAGCACATTCCCATGTAAGGGCTTTTGTGCTTATCATTGTCTTTGTTTGGAACGGCCCTTCTCTGGCTATCTGAGTGGCTTGCTCCTTAGGCCAGCTCTCTCTCTGCTGCATTCCAGCCTCTTGCCTTGTCCTTAAGATACTTTCTCATAGCATGTATCCCTCTGAATGAAGTTACGGTTGTTTCCCAGTATGTACTATTTTTCTTCTCACTGGGACATAAGCTTCATGCGAACAGGGGCTTAGTTTTGTTCTCACTGTGTCCTCAGAGCTTAGACAAGGAGTGCAAATGCCTGGTTATCAAGATGAATGCTGTAGATGTCAGGGGTTAAAAAAAGCCAGGCAAGGAAAATGCTAGTGGGCTTGGGGGTAGTGGTTCAAAGCAAGCTTCCCAGGAAGTTAGGAAAAGACAGTCGATTCCTAGAGAAAATTTAAATCTGTGTTAAAGACAAGGGCATCGGTTTATACCTTATCTTTAAGACAAGTCATTTAATTTAAAGCTTCTTGACTTAATAAGCATTATCGGGATGGAAAATGGCCAATTTCTGCTGTGAAATGTATGAATGTCTTGCTTAGAAAAAGGCCATTTTCTGATTATGGATATATGTTTGATCATAAATTATTACAGTATGTCAAGTGAGTGAAATAATATAATTATGGAATAGCCTGAGGTTTGCCAAACTAAAATTCTTACAAAGAGAGAAAAAAACAGGATACAAATTCCAAACTGGCTTACCAACTGTGTTCAAGCTTGTTTGTGGACCTGACTTTGCCTAATGGACAAAAATTAAGTGAATTCTCTCGCAGCTTTGCATTGTGCTTTAAATCCAGTCCACCAGCCCTCCCCAAAATGTTTTCTGTATAAGCTGTTTCCAGTTGAATTTCAATAAAATAATATGATTTATTGAGCGTCTGAAATTGTAAAGCTAATTTTTACTTTAAATTGAGAGTGCAGAGTGTGGACTAAGTATCTATTTCATCTCTGTGCAATATTCTCATCTATAAATAGAGATGGTAGCCAGGCCTACTTTGTGGGATTGCTTGAGTTAATGCATATGTATGCTTAATATATAGTAAAGGCAATCAATACTAACTTATAATAGCAGAATTGTCTGTCAATGGATTTTTTTTTTTTTTCTGGAAAGGCTTTATTATTATTGGGGGCGGGAGGGGGGAGTGCACGGCACTCAGTCCTTCTTGGCAGCGGCCTTCCTCTTCCTCATGGCGGCCAGCACGTTGCTCAGCTCATCTCTCTTCCTCTTGGCTCGGATGTGTGTGCCCACCCGCTTCTTGATGAACTTAAGTGCCCGCTTGTTGGAGACCTTGAGCAGCTCCATGACCCTTCGCTCGTAGGGTGCAAAGCCACACACCTCCCGGATCGTGTCCTGCACGAACGTGGTGTGCTTGGTGAGGTGCCCGCGGCTGCGGCTGGGCCTCGGCTTGCTCACGTTCTTGGTCACCTTGTGGCTCTTGTTGAGACCCACGGCCATAGGGCAGCACACAGCCATGACTGCTACTCTTCAATGGCTGCCGCGACGGAAGGCCAGTGGATATTTTTTAAGTTTACCTTTTGAATTGGAAATTACAATTTTGTATAAAAGTCCAGAGGCAGTAAAATTAATCATGAGTGAAGGGCCATTTAGTTTTTTATTTAAATCTTTTAAAATTATTATTAAACTATCATTTTATTGGGGGCTTTTAAAACTCATAACAATCCATATATCAATTATATCAAGCATATTTGTACTTTTGTTGCCATCGTTCTTTTCTAGACATTTACTTTCTATTGAGCTCTTGGTATCAGCTCCTCTTTCCTTCCCCCCAACCAGGGCAATTTAGTATATTTGTTAATGATATGTCAGTCTTCTAATAACTTGAGCTGCCATAAGTACCAATATATATGTATCTTTCGAAGGAAAGTAATTCTTGCTTGCATGGATTTAGGTTTTCATAAAACTCAGAGCAAAGCAGTAGTTGCTAGGTCTTCGTAGACATGCTATAAATTGGTCACTGAAGTAGACTATTTAGCTATAAAAGTTAAACCCCAGGAGCACCAAAGTCTTAAGATAGTCACGTACAGGTAGAGAAGTCATAGAGAAAGAAAAAAAATAGAAACAATTCAAAGTTAGCAGTAGAGTGAGGAAGAAACACCCAGGAGTAGTAGAATAACAGTGGAATTTAATGGAGAAGGAACCTTTTGTGTGTGTGTGTATTTTAATGTCCCTACATTTTTTCTCTCCATAAGGTTCAAAGATCACCCAACGTTAAATGAAAGATATTTGTTACTTCATCTGCTTGGTAGAGGTGGCTTTAGTGAAGTATATAAGGTAAGGTGAATTTTATTCTGTTTTTCAGACTAATATAACACAGATGCAGAAATATATGGCTAAAAAATGTTTGTCTTTTATTTATTGATTTTGTGATTTTTCAGGCCCTGATTCTCACAATCAGTCCAATGGCTTATGTTGTCATATCTCAAGAACCTAGACACTGCCCCGTCCCCTGGGTCCCTCAGATATTTAGTGTCCAGTCACCATCAACCAGTCAGATATTAATAACCTTTTGAGCAAAGATGAGCAGGGAGCTATTAAAGACAGTACATTATCATAAAGCTTGTATTAATTTAAACATGCATTAGAAGGCAAGTGTGTATGTGTCATTGTAGAAATTTTTACTCATTACCTTCATGCCTTTGTTTTATGCCTGTCTCCCCACCCACCCCCAGATACATCTTTCTAGCCAACCTTTAAATGGTGGGTTCTGAGGCCTCTCTTCTTATTTGGTGTTCTCTCGAGATTTTACCCACTTTCACTCAATTATCATCTATGTGATTCCATCTCTGACCTACACGTTCCTTTTGAATACTGATTTTGCCTGTTACCCTCACCCGGGCACCTCAAGGATACCTCAAATTCTTGTCTGAAATAAAAATCATTTGCCTCTCTTCCAAAATCCCTTCAGTAGGTATCATTTTCATGTATCCCCTACCCCGACCCTTACGTACAAAAGCAAAAATGCTTTCGTTTCTCTCATCTACCTTTGTGCAGTGGTAGAACCAGTCTTTGGTGCTGCAATTATTAGCACCATTAAGCTCTGAGGACCCCTCTCGTGTCTCTGCTGCCAGAGCCTCCTTTCCGGTATTGCATGTACTGGTAATTTTGTATGCTGTAACATTTTTAAAAAGGCAAATGTCTGATTACTACTCCTACTGTAAAAGTCCCAGTGGTCATACTGTCACCTTCAACTTCGGTTCTTTAAGAATGCTTCCCTGGCCTCCACATCAGCTCAAGTCGGATGTGGTCATCATCCCCCCGTCCTCCCCTCCCCTTTTAACAAACTTCATGTGACTCTCTGCTTCGTTATATATCTCTATAGTTAGTGGTAAAGCGCCTAGGTTCTGAAGGCAGACAGATGGGGTTGAATCCTGATTAATCCTGTTTACCAGCTGTATTGGATTTGAGCTTATTACTTACCTTCTGCCTCACTGTCTTCAACTGGGAATAGTAATAGTGTTGTTTTAAGATTATTGTCATGATTAAATTGTGCCAACTCATGTAAATCGCATAGGACAATGCTGCTTGATATTTGTGAGCTATTAGCACTATTGTTAGGAGTCCCTGAATGGTGTAGATGGTAAGCCCAGAAAAGTTAGTGGTCCAAACCCTACGCAGAGCTGCCTCTGAAGACAGGCCTGGTGATCTGCTTAGCTTCCATCCTTGTAACTACTATCATACCTGGGGTCACCCTGCCTCAAAATCGACAAGGCTGATGATGAGGGTGATCCTTTCTGTTGAATGAGACAGGGACTTTGCCTCCCTGGTTTCCTGAAAACATCCTGGATTTTAGTTCTGACTCTGAGGATTCTAACGCAGCTCCAATTCTGGTCTTAGTTCCAGCATGTACTCCATGTTGTTTTCTTTGCTTTCTTGACTTAAGGGTCCTTGAAAGTGATGTATGTGATGGTTTCACCTTCTTCACCCATCGAGAATAATCTTTGAGCATTTTCTCTAATTCCTATTTCTCTGATTTTAAAGTTTGGGAATAGTGGAAGTTCACTGATAAAATTCCATGCAGGAAACCCAAGTTTGACTCTGGATTAATAAAATGCTCCTTATATGCAGCAACAAGTCTGTCAGTGGAGGCTTGCATGTTGGGATATGAGCAACTTTCAGTGGAGTATTCAGACTGACAGACTAAGAAGTGCCTGCAGAGCTGCTTCTGAAGAGTGGCCAGCGGAATCCCGCTGATCCCAGTGGTCCGGTCCATAACATCCCTGGGCAGGGAGGTGGTTAGGACTAGAGGACCTTGTGTTCATTTGTGCCTGGGCTCACCATGCAATCAAGGATGACTGGACAACTAACAGCCAGCCCTTCATCGTCAAGCTCGCAGTACTCATAGCAGGCCTTCCCAGACAGCGACTGTGATGGATCCTAACATAACTAACTCAAATCTGAAAAGCACAGTTAGCATTGCTCAGCCTAACATTTGACCTGCTTTGGGCCTTCTAATAGCTTTCATGACAGAACTTTTGCCTTATAGATATGATTGGGTAAGAAAAGGCTTCTGTAGAAATTAGAAAATGCAAGTCAGTGCTTTGGAAACCTTCTATATTGACTTAAGTACTAATTACAGCTTTCCAACCCCTTAAAAACCTTTTACCATTGTTGCGGAATCCATTGGGAAACAAGCAAAGCACAATGTAAGTCAAGAAATACAGATTTACCTCATTAAGGTGGAAGATTTTTAATCAGTTGCTAAACAGACTGCCATATTACCTTTATGAGAAACTCTTAATCCTCACCTGACTTTAGGAGAATATATTCTAATCAATATACATTGATGAGAGCTTTTTACTAGCGATAGACTTATTTTCTGTGATACTTTATTATGATTGCCTTTGAAGGTTTTCGTCTTAAAATTTATTTTTCTTACATTATTTTTATTTTCTGGTTCTTTAAATGTAATAATATAATAGCTATTTTTTAAAATCTTTATTAGAACTGTGTTATTTTTAAAATTTCAAATGTTTTACCTTCTTCTGATTTCAATCAAATATTTTAAAAACAAAACCTCACGCCCATCAACTCAATTCTGTCTCATAGTAACACTATAGAATAGAGCTGAACTACTTCTGAGAATTTGCCGCACTGTCAGTCTCCATGTGCACATGCAGCCTTGTTTCTCAGATTAGTGGGTTTGAACTGCTGACCTTGTAGTTAGCAGCCCACTTACATCACGAGGGCTGATTTGTGGCTGGGTCTATGCTTTCATAATTTTGACAGTATAGACTTTTACCTTAATTGTACTTATTTTTATGTTAAGTTGATGCGAGGGAAGGTTAGGGACCTTATTTTGCTTTGAATTTTAAAAGGACACTACCATTTGCAAATCAAGTGAAATCCAAATTATTTAATCTCTTTAGCATTATCCATATTCAGTGTCCTTTAAAAACTTGTACAAATCATGTGAGACTTCAAAAAGGATACAGATAATTTGGTATTTTTATTTAAAAATTAGGCTGGTCATGTAAAACTTTGTTGTTAGTGGTTTTTTTGAGCCAACAAAAGAAAGTAGAAGTTAGAATCTGTATTAGATTAAGGAATTAGTGATATAGAGGTGGTAATATTTTTAGATTAGAGTAAATATTGAAATATTAAAGAGGGACATGATATTTGTTCTTTAAAAATTATTTTGTCTTTAAAACTTCATGGTGAAGAGAGGAGGCAATTATGAAAAATAGGAATAAGTGAATTAAGAATTGCAAATACTGATAAAAATTTTAATTTAGAGGAGGTGTTCGGTTCATAAGGCTCATAGTACTCTGTACTTATGTATTTGTTTGTGCAATTTTATAGTAAAAGCTTAGTTTTTGTTTTTTAACAGTGGACTTTGTTAGGGACATTCCAGGTTTCACAGTAGAGAATGGATAGGGGAAAAGAGAAAAGGTTTTCATTATCCAATCCACAGGAAACACTATAGCTCTCTGTTTTCCTGCCTATGTCCTGCTATTTCTGATATAGAGATATATGTCTATATTAAAACAAACAGTAGCTCTACGTTTCATCTTGATTCAGTGTAATATTATTAGAATTAAACTTGGATGTTAACAATCAGTTAAGGCGCCGTGTTGTCTGATTTATCACCATGGAATTTGTATCTCATTTCAGATAATAAATGTGTCATTGAACCTGTATGTAGCCGTGGCAAAGATGATGGTTAAAAATTGTGGAGCGTGTTCTAATTCAGTAGTGCAAAATGATCATCCAAGGACTCTTCAGTTGGTCTTCGGTCTTAACTATTATTTATCTTGAATTCTAGGCTTTTGACCTTTATGAGCAAAGATATGCTGCTGTGAAGATCCATCAGCTTAATAAAAGCTGGAGAGACGAGAAGAAAGAAAACTACTACAAGTAAATATTAGTTATTAGTCTTATAAACTGAAAGCGTGTGGTGGCCGTGGAGAACTAATGCATCCTCTTCTCTTAGACACGCCTGCCGAGAGTACAGAATACACAAAGAACTGGACCACCCCAGGATAGTCAAGCTCTATGACTATTTCTCTTTGGACACAGATACGTAAGTGACCAAAAAATTTTTTTCCTTAAGAAAGTTTTAGAATTGGTATGACAGTGAAATAAAGCATATATGAGACCTCATTTAAAATAGTTATATTTTATCTAAATACTAAGATCTCCATCTACTATGTATTACTTATCTTGAAATATGTTACTTTTTTCCATGTTGTGTGCTAAAGATGTTTGGTTTTATTTTTCATATTCTATGGCAATGATATAAATATTTTAATAATTTGAATTGTTGGATACAATTTTATGTTTAATTTTTTTCTCTTTATTGTAGGTTTTGTACAGTGTTAGAATACTGTGAAGGCAATGACTTGGATTTCTATTTGAAACAACATAAATTAATGTCAGAGAAAGAAGCTAGGTCTATTGTAATGCAGATTGTAAATGCACTAAGATATCTCAATGAGATCAAACCCCCTATTATACATTATGATCTTAAGCCAGGTAAATAATGAAACATGTCTAATCATTTTTTTATGTTATAAAGAATATTGGTTTGTTTTTTTAATTAAGTGCTCAGACAGTATGCTTATGGGTTCAGTTTTTAAACTTCAGTGAGTACTAGTAGAGTTAAAGGTTGGCAGTTCAAAATCACCAAATGCTCAGTGGAAGGAAGATGAGATTCTTTACTTCCATAAAGAGTTACAGTCTCAGAAACCCACCGGGCGGTTCTGCCTTGTCCTATAGGATTGCTATGAGTCAAAATTGACTCAATGGCAGGGAGTTTGTTTTGGTTTGACCATATTTTAAATATGCATATTTACTTCCTGAAAGTTAGCTGTTGTACCTTCATTGTACTTATTTTTATGTTTAATTGATGCAAGTGGAGGCTAGGGACCTTGTTTCACTTTGACTTTTAAAAGACCACCAACATTTGCAAATCAAAGTAAAACTACATTTGTGTAGTATTTGTCCGTCTGTATCATTAAAAGATTTTTAATATTTTTAAAGGAATTTTAATATTTTTATTTAATAATATTTTAATTTAAATTAAATTTAATTTAAAATAAAATATTTAATATTTAAGGAATTTTAATATTTTTTTAAGGAAACATTCTTCTGGTAGATGGAACAGCATGTGGAGAAATCAAAATCACCGATTTTGGTCTTTCCAAGATTATGGATGATGACAGTTATGGTGTAGATGGGATGGATCTAACTTCCCAAGGAGCAGGCACTTACTGGTAAGTGCATCACTCAGCATTCCAAAGTTATTTCAATCCGTGACTCTTCCAGTGTTCAATGAGAATTTAGTTTTATTTTCATGTAGCCTTTGAGACCACTGCAGTAAGAGCTTGGTGTGCAGCCTCTGAGTGGGGCAGGAGACTGCTGCAGCGGGTGGTCTTTTCTCATCTTCACAACTGCAGAGCTCAGCTGATGGGGAGGGGGAGTCAGTGCCTACCAGCCAGCAACTCCTTACTCAAAGAAATCTTGACCGATTTTTCTAGTCTTAGGATGAGGTTTATCATGAATGTAAATACCTATTTAAATATGATAGGGAAACTATTACAAATAGAGTAACCATAAGTACCAAGCCCTCTTCGTAGGGATTTGGCGGTTTCGGCTTTTGGGATTGGGTGATCATAGGATAGGGGATAAATTGGGCATATTTTTGGCCTTTGAGTTAGACTCTCCCCAATACCCTTAATGACTTCATACATTCACATGCAATTCTAAATAGAACTATAGTTAAGTAGATATAGATCATTGAATGACTGTCATCCACTCAGAGAACTTCTTAGGTGTTAACAAAAATTACTTCATAGTGAATTTTCAATTTATCATCGCATTCACTAAAGTTGAGAAAGTAGGCTATACAATTTTAAAGCAGACATTGGTTTCAGGATTCATTTGTTTAGCAAAAAGAGTAGCATGTTGTGTTTAGCAAAAAGAGTAGCATGTTGTGAAGAGAGTTAACTACACCTGACTTTGTTGGACAAGATAGTGACTACACAAATAAAGGTGACATTAGGGTCTCCAAACAGTTGAGCTGGCTACATAGCACCCAGTTCCATAACATGCCATCTGTGTGCATTTTAATTTTTATCCACAGGGATTAGTCATTCTTTTAAAAATCAGTTTAGCATTTCAGTTTCTGCTTATGGTATATATTCTAATTATGATACCATGGATTTTTTTCATATTTAAAGATAATTATTAAATTTGTAAACACTTAAAAGTTAATATTCTTAATCAGGATTTAGACACTTTTTATTTTTTGTTAAGTAATAGGACTCCCCCTGCCCACCCAAACACACAATAAATCTTAGAATCCTAATGATTAAAACCAACAGACACAACAGTTTTTGGCTAGAGCCCTTGATTGAAATCATGTTTTCAGCCATGCTTAACTAGTAGAACATTCTTCCTGTGTAGGTGACACCCCCCTCTGTTATTTTTCCCTTGCTCCGGCTCCACTCTGTGGGAATGAGACGTAACCGTGATGCTTCATGGAGGAGCCTGGAATGCATTTCTCGTAGAAACAGTGCTCCAAAACACAGTGATTTCTGTAACCACGTTGTTTAACTATGTAATTGGTAAACTGAGTGTCTTAATAACCCTTTTATCCTTCTAAATTTAAAACATACAGTCTTATAAATTACATATGTATGTTGCTTTTGCAAATTATCTTTTATCTCTAGAAGCATGAAGTATTTGTCAGTACGAGAAGATAAGTTTTATATCTATGTTTCTCTCTTTTATGGCTCCAATGTAATCATTCACTACCAGGGGTCCTCAAACTTTTAAAACAGGGGGCCAGTTCACTGTCCCTGAGACCCATTGGAGGGCTGGACTGTAGTTTTAAAAAAAACTATGAACAAATTCCTATGCACACTGCACATATCTTATTTTGAAGTAAATAAACACCCAGTGGGAAAATCCCGGCGGGCCAGATAAATTTCCTCGGCGGGCCGCATGTGGCCCGCGGGCCATAGTTTGAGGACACCTGCACTAAACCCTGATGATCTTTTCCCCCCTGAATATCTATACTGTCAGTTCTGAAAGCCACTCTCCTTTAAACTTTTAGAGACAATATAGCTTAGTGTTTAAGGATCATTCTTGTTTTAATTACACTCCTGCACAAGCACATTTTAAATAGTAAAACAAATGCAGATTTTCATTTCATTTTGGAAGTGCAGAAAGCCTTTACATGATGAATAAGTATCATGCTGGTTCTATTTCCGAAAAATTTCACATATTTGTTAAGAGGTCTATTAGCTTCCTAGAAGCAACCATTAATCTATGCCAAGCTATCTGGCTAACCAACTGGAAGAGAACCATATTTGTGCCCTTTCTAAAGAAAAGTGACCCAGTAAGATGCAGAACGTAGCATTAATATTGCATGCAAGTAAAATTTTGTGGAAGATAGTTTTAAAATGGATGCAGCAGTACACCAACAGGGAGAGTCAGAAGGGAACATGGAACATGATATTTATCATTGCTGAGGTCAAATGGGTATGGCTAAAATATGTTTACTCACTTTATTGACTATGCAAAGGCATCTAACAGTGTGGCTCATAGTAAATTATGGATAATATTGAGAAAAATGGGAATTCCAGGACACTTAATTCTGTTCCTGCTAAACCTGTAAACAGTTACTCAGACAGAAAACAGGCTTTAATCTATGATTTCAAGTCAAGGAATTTGCACTCCAGGTTGTATTCTTTCACCACACTTGTTCAATCTGTATGCTGGGCAAATAATACAAGAAGTTGGACCATTTAAAGAAGGGTGGACCATCAAGTTTGGAGGAAGGCTCAGTAACAACCTCTGATATACAAATGACATTAGTTTTCTTGCTGAAAGTAAAGAAGACTTTAATTGTGCTTATTCATGAAGATCAAAACTACAGCCTTCATTATGGATTATATCTCATCATAAGAGAAAAACCAAAATCCTCACAACCCCACAAGTTAGATAATAACAAGACAATCACAGAAAAGACGAACGTAGTGAAAGATTTTGCTCTAGTTTTGGCACCATAATAATGCAGTCAAGAAATCAAACAACATATTACACTAGGTTTATGAAGCAAGGATGTGTCATTTTGAGGAATGAGATGCACCAGCCTCAAGCCATTGCATGTTCCATTGCCTCAAGTTTGTGTGAAAGCTTTGTAGAGAATAAGGAAGGCCAGAGAAGAATTGATACACTTGCATGATAATATTACTGAAGTGTATGGAAGTACTGTATATACTCGAAGATAAGCCGAATGTCAGCCAGGGCACCTAATTTTACCACCAAAACTCCATTAAAAATGTGCTGGTAAACAGCTTATACACGAGTATAAACGGTAAATACCATTGACTGCCAGAAAACACACAAATCTATGTGGGAAAATGTACAGTCAGAATGTTCCTTAAAGTCAAGCGTGGCAAGACTTCCATCTTACGTACTTTGGACATGTTATCAGGAGAAGGACATCATGCTTGGAAAAAGTCTACGGCCGTCAAATAAGAGAGAAACCCTTGACAAGGTGGATAGACACCGTGGCTGCAGCGGTGGGGGGTCAAACATAACCGTTGTGAAGATGGTGCAGGTCTGGACCGTGTTCCTTCCATCGTGTTTATGGAGTGTTGGAATTGAGTTGAGGACCTAACTGCACACCGGCATCCTGCTGGAATCTGAACAGTGTTGGCATAGTGGATACAGGACCAAAGCATGAGAGAGTAGATCTCATTTCACTATGTTGTTCCTTGTCAGTGTTTTCAGTTCCTTTTAAGTTTTGTGAAGTATGTGTTGCTTGCATGTCTGGTGGATCTTTTTTTTTTTTTTCTCACCACCTGAGGTGGTGACTATTTTTGTTCTCTTTTGAAAAATTATGAACTAGTAAATAACATACATTTTAAAATACTCGCTGTATTGCATATGGTACTACTGTGCTTGAAAATGCACAATAAGTGACAGCCCCCTGACAACTGCTCAGAATATAGTGCCATTGCAGTTCAATGCATCACAGAAGGCCAGCCTGTGAAGTCCTGTGGCAGCGCAAGCAGGATGCAGAACTACCTGGAGAGAAGCCGCAGAGGCTCTGAGCAGTTATTCGGATTGTGGGGAGAAGAACAGTGTTCGCCAAGTGAATTGGAGTAAGGTGGCAGAATTTTAAATGTTACCAAATGAAGATGGGTCTTGTGTTACAAGTGAGAGACAGGTCTTATCGGCAATTAGTACTATTGAGGTTGTTAAATAAAAAAATTTAAAAACCTACCTGATCAGGTATGTGATTTAGGATAACTGCCTAGAGTTTGAATAATGCGCGTGGGAAGGGGTTTTCCTTTGTCATTAAACATCAAATGAGAATATTGTAATCTATAAGGATGATTTTTTTGTTTAAGGTTCCGTATTTTGGTTGTAGAGGCAAATGATACAAATATGGAAATGCTTCAGTAGTCTCTAGTTGATGGTTTTCACTGATGAAAGTACTATAAAAATTGTGTATGAATCGAAGCCATATTCTAAGATTTTTACATGTAGATTTGAAGTTAGAGATTGTTAATACATATCTTTTTCTTTTTCCTCAACTGAAAAACTACAGGTATTTACCTCCTGAATGTTTTGTAGTTGGAAAAGAGCCACCAAAGATTTCCAACAAGGTTGATGTGTGGTCAGTTGGAGTAATTTTTTTTCAGTGTCTCTATGGTAGAAAGGTAAGTTAGTTACATTATACGACTTGGCAACTGTCTAGAGCAGGGGTCCTCAAACTTTTTTAAACAGGGGGCCAGTTCACTGTCCCTCAGACCCGTTGGAGGGCTGGACTATAGTTTTAAAAAAAGCTGAACAAATTCCTATGCACATTGCACATACCTTATTTTGAAGTGAAAAAACAACGGGGCAAAATCACCTGGTGGGCTACATAAATATCCTTGGCGGGCTGCAGTTTGAGGACGACTGGTCTAGAAGCAAATTGCTTTGGGTCCCCCTCCCCCTTTAAGTGCTAAGTGTCATTAACATGAAGTCAATTTAGATTCTTCCTAATATAGCCAGTCCTTTGCGCTATTTCTTTCTGAAATTTCCTTGGATCAGTGTCACGCCATTGGCTTACTTTTTGCATTTGCTTTTTGTGGGGAATTAGAAGGGGGTAAGAGGGATAAGAAAAAGAAGTAACTGTACACGGTCCCTTATCTCTCTGCACTGCTTAGGTATACCCCTTCCCCCAGTCCTCATATCCCACTCCCATACACCCCCAACACACACACACACACACAGTTTGGTTCAACGCATAGTATGTCATAATACTTCCCATGACCGAAGTCAGAAACTACAAGGTACATTAGCTATTGGCCAGTCCACTTCCTACCCATACCTTTATTTAGTAAATAAGGGAAGAGAGGGGAAGGGACTTGTCGGGAAATTCACAGCAAGTTAGGACCAAACGTAGGTCTCCTAACGCCAAATCCAACCTCTTTCACTTAGATTAGTGTATCATGCACAAACAATTTCTTCTTCAGAATTTCCCCAGATGGTCCTACTACTTTAACTCTTTTCCAACCAAACTTCATTATTTAAAAACCTTCAAGGCAACAATTTAAATGTCTTTTCCTGTCTTTGTGTGACCCCAGTTGCACAGTAACAGCATGGTTTTCCGCGTCTCATCATGCTTCAGTTGTGCAACACTTGATGGGACGCACTTTCTCAGGCTGTTCTCAGCTGCCTTATTCCTATGGAAATGCATCGTAGGTTCCAAGTAACCGAATAAGTACATAACAAGCTTGGGGGTTTACTAATGTTATTTATGTTTAAATGTTTTGAGATATAAGTTTCTTAACATTTTGTTCCCCTTTTTTAGCCATTTGGTCACAATCAATCTCAACAAGACATCCTGCAAGAAAACACAATATTGAAAGCCACAGAGGTCCAGTTTCCTGTAAAGCCGGTTGTAAGCAGTGAAGCCAAGGTACTCAATTTATGTAAATTGGTGTTGTGAGGCACAGTTTGTTTTGTAGATTGTGCTTAAAACAAGGTAAGTACTTAGTAGTGAAAGGGTTTGCCACTGCCCAGCAAATTGGTAGAGTCGGAACTCAGGTGGTGTGCTCTGGAAAAAGAATTTGCCCAGGACTTTGGGTGTGACCATTTTACCTTTTAAGGACCCAAGTACAATTTCTGATTCTTGTGAACACCAAATTGCTTTTTAAGAAATTGAGGAAAAGCACGTAGTCTGGGCCCACCATTACTTCAAGTCTTGTGCATTAGCTTAAACTAATATTTTACCTCAGCTATCTAAGTATATAAGAAGTTATAATAATACTTCTCACTTATTTCATGATTACTGTGTACCGTGGCATTGTTTTGATCCTTTAGATCTATTGTCTTTCAACAACTTAAAGATACTTTTGTGACCCCATTTTATAATACAGGAAACCAGTCAAGCCATAGCATAAGTATTTAAGTACCTTTCCCAGAGTCATACCAGCTGATAAGTAGCAGAGCAATAGCTCACAAGTGTCCACTTCTGCCAGACACCAGCATCCACACCTTTACCTTCCTTTTGTCCTCTACTTGTTCTTGAGCAAGGGCTGTCCTAGAGCTCATTTCTCTGTGTCCTTCTGTTGGAATCTTCCCTTGTCTAAACCCTGAGAAAAAAATACAGCATTTGGTTTTTTTCTAATGTGAAAACCTCTAGTCTAGGTTATAAGAATAATTTATAAACAGGAATTAGATAGTTTCTAATTATTACTTAGGATATAAATAAATATTGCTAGATGCCGCCCCCCAGTTTGAGGTTATCCTCGACTTACTCATTAAAAATGTACTGGTTTTCAAGAGACTCTCTCCTACCTTCTCCTCCTGCGCTGTGTGTGGACCTTGCTGTTGAGATCATGACCATCCAGGAGTTACATAATCTCCTGTCAACTTGCAAAGGGGTGGAGTCTAGCCTGTCAATCAGGTCATAGCCAATGAGGCCTCCATGTGGGCATAGCCTTCTCCTGAGGATTCTGGGAACTCCTGTCTTCCTCCCTGGAAGTGGGAGACACTTTCTGCTGCTGCTTCCTGCTGAAAAACCACATGGAGCTACACTGATGCAGCCAGAGCCCTGGCAATTGAGGAGCCACGTGGAGACCCCTGCCAGTGCTGTGATGCTTCCACCGCCATTGGATCCACAAGACTTTCGATCCACTGCCTTGTGATCTTCCTACATTCAGCATCATTGAATAAAGTTTTGCATGGGTCTGAAGAGGAATTTATAGATAAAGAAATGGAAGCATTGAGAGATGCAGTCGTTTACTGTAAATTATACAGCCAGTAATGGAACGAGCTGGGATTAAAAGCCAGGCAGTCTACCTTCAGATTTCATGTTCTTAATCAACATACACACTATTGAGACGGATGAGGTTCTGTGAGAGCCCTGGCATTGTTCAACGTAGACTTTTGTAGGAGCAATTGACAAGTCAGAGGACTGTGGTGAAAGCAGTGAGTGGAAGGGACCCTCAGATGACACAGGTGTTTGCATAAGCAGGGCAGGCCTTTAAAACAGCCATTATACAGCTGTCTTAAGAATTTAAAGGACATAACAGCTACGACGAGTGGACAGGAAGAAGCTTAGGAGAAAAATGGAAACATTCAAGCAGTATAATTTCTAAAAGAAAACAATTCATCAGATGGGTGTGAGCGCGGAGAAAAAGCAACCAAAATCAATTTTACAATGTTAGTGAACTCAAAGACAGACAGACAGGAACAATCCAGTGCAGAGAACAGAAAGATTTTAAACTTGAACAAAACAAAACATTATGAAAGATGTTAAAGAGGACCCAAATAGATGGAAAGACATTTCATGTTCACAGATCAGAATAATGAATATTTTCAAGATGGCAACACCCTAAATTGATTTACAAATTCAACACAATCCCCATTCAAATCCCAGTTGGCTGCTTTGTAGAAATTGGTAAGCTGACCCAATAATTAAATATGGAAATTTAAGTAGCCCAGAATAGGCTAAGCTATCTTGAAAAAACGCAAAGTCAGCAAAGTTAGAGGACTCTCACTTCCCGGTTTCAAAACTGACCACACAGCTACAGTTATCAAGAAGACGCAGTGCTGGCATGAGGACAGACAGCAATGACTTCCAACGGGGGTCGATGAGGAGAGACTGATCTTTTCAACACATACTCAGGCACAACTGGACATCCACCTGCAATAGAATGGATTGCAGTCCCTCCCTCACCCACATGGAAAAATTAACTCAAAATGAGTCACAGCCCTAGCTGTAATACCTGAACATATAAAACTGATAGAAGGATTGAGGGAAGGGGGGAAAAAAGAGTCCTTGTGACTTTGAGTTAAGCGACGCCTTTAAAAATATGATAAAGGCACAAGTGCAAAAGGAAAAATAGTTGAATTAGATGCATGAGAGCTCACATTTTGGGGTGTCAAAGGGCACTATCAAAAAGTGAAAAGAACCCCCAGAAGAATGCAATTCAGAGGACAGCACTGAAGCTACAGCTTGAGGAGCGCACACAGGAGAAACGAAGAGTGAAGGAGAGGGAGGGGAACACATCCTCGCCCACCAAGCCCTGAGGACATTATTTCTGCTCGGAGCAGACAATGCACGAGAGGACCATCGAACTGACCCCACCATGAGACAACAATGTCCCTCACTAAACCATAGATCTACGGGGGAGAACACTGCAGCCACAGTGCGGGAACTGTGCTCAATCTGACCCCATCACACTGGGGCGAAACACTAAGGGCATGCAACAGAACAGCAAGGGGAGCAAAGTGATGAAATCCCCGGGGAATATAAAAAATAGGCTTTGGAGACAGAGTATGGCACCTCATCAGACTCGACTGGAAAACACTTGTAGAGGCCAACAGACAGACCTTGAACTAATTATAGGCTTTTCCATTTTTGTCAGTGGCTTTCTTTTTGTTGTTATTTTGGGGTTTTTTGGTGCTGTTGTTACTGTTTTGTTGGTTTTGACTTTTGTTGTTTTGTTTGGCTTTGCCTGGTTTTTCCGCTTATTAATGTCTCTGCATGTCTGTCTAGATAAGATAGGCGGGATAAACAATTTGGAGATTAAAGGAATGGGACCAGTGGTTCCAGGGGGATATGGGAGAAAGGAAGGGGTGGAGGAACCAGCCCAGGGACAAGAGAACAAGTGAACTAAAGTCAATGGAGAGAAAGGTGTAGGATGCCTAGTGGGGCTTCATCAAGGGCAATGTAGCAGCGAGGAATTACTAAACCCAAATGAAAGCCAAACATGATGGTGGGAAATAAAGGAAATAAGAGGAAAGAATCAGGAGGTAAAGGACATTTATAGAGGTCTAAATACAGGCATGGACATATAAGTGTATATATAACAAGAGGGGAATAAATCTACGTACTTGAATCTACATGTTAAGAATTAAGGTTGTAAATGGACATTGGACCTCAACTCAAGTACTCCCTCAACACAAGAACACTTTGTTCTAACAATCCGGCATTCTGTGATGCTTACCTTCCCGGCACAATTGCTGAAGACAAAATGGGTGCATAAGCAAATGTGGTGAAGAAACTGATGGTGCCCGGCTATCAAAAGATATAGCATCTGGGGTCTTAAAGGCTTGAAGAGAAATACGTGGCCATCTAGCTCAGAAGCAAGTGGCCATCTAGCTCAGATAAACAAGTGGCCATCTAGCTCAGAAGCAACCAAACCCCCATGGAAGAAGCACAACAGCCTGTGTGATCATGAGGTGTTGATGGGATCAGGTTCAGGCATCTAAGACCCAGAACAAAACCATACCCAATGTGAATGGGGGTGGAGGGGGCATGGAGTGGAGACCCAATGCCCATCTGTAGACAATTGGACATCCCCTCACAGAGGGGTCACAGGGAAGAGATGAGCCAGTCAGGGTGCAGTATAGCACCAATGAAACACACAACTTTCCTTTAGTTCCATACTGCTTCCTTCCCCCACTATCATGACTTCAATTCTACCTTACAAATCAGATTAGACCAGAACATGCACACTGCTACACATAAGGGCCCTCAGCACAGGGAATCCAGGATAGATAAACCCCTCAGGGCCAAGAGTAAGAGCAGAGATAGCAGGAGGATTAGAGGAGGTTGTGGGGGGAGAGGGGGAATCAATCACAAGGATCAACATAACCCCCTCCCAGGGGGACGAGCAACAGAAAAGTGGGTGAAGGGTGACAGAGGATGATGTAAGATATGAAAACAATGATCTATAACTTATCAAGGGTTCATGAGGGAGAACAGGAGGGAGGGGGAAAATGAGCTGATATCAAGGGTTCAAGTGGAAAGAAAATGCTTTGAAAATGATGATGGCAGCATATGTACAAATGTTGACACAAGGGATTGTAATGAGATGTAAGAGCCCCCAGTAAAATGATTTGATTGAAATAAAATAAAAGGTCCAATCAAATATATATACTGATTTCATATAGCTAATCTCAAATGTGTTTGTTGACAAAGCATTACATTTTATCCCTTACATTTTTATGGTTTGACTTTTTAAAGTTATTTGAATGACTGTTAGAAGATTTTGACAAGGTAATATAGTTTAAAACAAAGAGAAAAGATAAATGTAATAAAAGTATCTTAACTGTGCTGGCAGCTCAATCTTGTCTTTTCTTTCTGACAGCTCCAGTAAGACCAGAAAGTAGATGAATTTATTTTTTTTAAAAACAACCTATGTATTTATAAAAATATTGGGGGGAAATGACCAAGAGGGAGTAGACTATGCCAAAGAGGAATTCTTGCACTTGGTTCTAACCTAACTGGTAGAAAGGCTCTATGGGGCGGTTCCCGTGAATTTTTAAACCCCTCGTCCCCAAAAAGCACACCTTTGCCAAGTACCTCCCCCTGACTTGGTGTGGGCCTCTAACACGCATGCATTCGTCAGGCTGCTTAGCCTTAGCGGTAGCCTTTGGGAGCCTTTCAGCCCCACAAACTCGCCCTTGATTTTTTTCCCCTCCATCTTAATCTTTTCAATGTGCTTACTAGAATGTTTCTTGTTAAAGACTTTAAACAGGTAAGATCTAAGTTAGTTAGTATAATACTAACTAGATTTACTTACAAGTTTTCAAAGCTAAAATGGTGCAAAATGGAGTTGGCCAGCACAGCCTCAAGTCCAGGTATAATTAGGGTTGCGCTGAGTTACTGAGCAAGGAGGCGCCCTGCACAAAGCCCAGGCACAGAGTTGCATGAGAGACAAATGGCTCTTGGGAGAAGATTAGTGTCATGTCGAGTTTTAAGTAGATAATCCCAACACAAGTAGCAGCAAGGTAAAAATCCTCTTGCCCCCTAATGGATCCATCTGACAAACACTGTTGAGGGACAGGACCCAGGCCTAGGAGAACATGCTCTCAGACTCCACCACATCCAGTTCAGAACGAACCAAACTTGGCCCCTGTGTCAGAAGCCAGGACACCAGTTACCCAGGTTCCGCACGAGGGTGATGGGAGGCTTGGTAAAGTTCATTTTCTTGATCCGGTTGCTAGTTAACACAGATATAATTCATTTGTACTAAAAATCTTACCATAGTGAATGATGGGGGGAGTGCAGCGTGGAGATCCAAAGCACATTAGTAGGCCACTGGAGATCCCCTTGCAGAGGGGTCTCGGGGAGGAGATGAGCCAGTCAGGGTGCGATGTAACAATGATGAGAAATACAAC